GGGTTGGGGGGCAGGTAAGGCCAGTCCCTCTATCTCAAAAAAGCTGGTACAGCAGGGAAGGCTTGTTATGATGTCATCTATAGCCAATTATGGACATTGCAGAGTAGTTTTAAGCTAGAATGTGCTTTCTAGCCTCCAAGTTTCTTCTAATAAGCTTTGCCTGGAGATCCCTTTGGGAAGTGCTTGTTTATTTAGGACTGTCAGGTGCTCAAGCAGCATTCCCTTGAGGGATGGACCATTTTAAAGCTCCAAATTATCTCTACAGTTACTTTTTAAACATACATTCTTATCAGATCAACAGCAGAAATTATTTCCGAGCTCTGTTTGGAGGGAGAGAGGTACACCTGGGTGGGGGTTGGGAATGAGGGGCTAAGGGCCCTAGGTTTGAGACATAGAGGAAGGAGTGATGGGGAGGGGAGGGGAAAGGAAGAGCCACCTAATGGAGCCAGACAGAAGCAGGCATATCTCCCCCTAAGTTGCTTTACCCCAGGAGCTTTCCCAGATGACAATTAGATTGCTCTGTAATTTGACATGTAATTTGAGCAAAGGCACCAGAGACTGTCACTAGGTCTGACAGGAGAAAGCTAACTAGAGCAGAGGGTGGTAAGGGCATGGGAGTAAGACCTGGATTGGAATCCTGGTTCTTCCACTTACTATTTGTGTGATCACTGGCAAGTCACTGAGCCTCACTTTTTTGATCTGGGAAATAGGAATAATAAGTGGTTAGTGGGGATAAACAACCTACTTTTGAGGTTGCTGGGAATCCATAGGGGCCTTAGGGTACACTGGCTCACACCAGAATCCCTTTATAGCCCTGCAGAGTGCAACCACATGGCCCACGGAGGCCTGCTGTTCTACAAAATTAAGCAAAGCAAATTGGTAACTCTGGATTTACTTAGCTAGTGATTAAATAACAGTTTAGTTAATAGGCTATTAATGGTCCCCAGGTGTTGGTAATTCTGAGCATTTGCTTTTGAGAGCAGTGGTATAATTTCTTCTGGTACTTTAATAAAGTTTTTTGTGTGTTTTTTTTTAACAGAAAATATTGTAGTGTAACAAATGGTGCTCTCAGGAGCTATTTGGGGGAGGATTAAATGATATACTGCATGTTAAACACTTAGTGTAGGGTTTACCCACCATTCAAGGTTCAATAAAATTTATCTGGTGTTATTAGAGACTCAACTGGCCACACTTTAGGCAAGATCTTTTGTGTAGACTCCCCAGGAGCCGACCACCACCTGGTGGCAGCTGGTGGTACTGCACACACTGTGAGGAAGAAATATTAAATCGCATGTAGTTTAAATTCCACCCAGTGTAACAGGGACTTTGTTCAGTGTTCAGAGTGTGGGTTATTTGCCTGAAAGCTGAATTCATACATCATTAAACAATGAAGTGACATTTTTCACCTCCACAGTTGGCACAGATTTTTTTAAATGTTAACAGCAAGAGTAAACGCAGTGGGGAAACAGACATGCTCGTGTGCTATTAGTAGGAATGTAAATTGGTACAGCATTTCTGGAGGATGGGTGGTGGTGTAACAAAAGTCTTAAGTGTTTGCATCTTTTGTGGCAACCATTCCTCCTCTAGGAATTTATCTTGAAGAAATAAAAATAGAAAAATTTTTAAATTTATATAAAATACAAATATTTATAAATATAAATATATGTCATATATTTATAAAAATATAAAATAACATTACCTATAATAGGACAAAACAGGGAACAAACCCTTTTTCGTTTGCAAATCAGATTCTCAATCCTTATAGCAGTGATTCTTAAAAAGAGTGGGCGCATGAGGAAAGGTAGGCATATTGACATATCCTGGGGCAGAGGAGTTGGGATGGGGATCGGATCAGAATCTGCTGTGGGAGCTGTGTAGTTAAAGAATATTTTGTATACCTATTCATTTCAAAAAAACCCCAAAAAACTCTAGAAAGTAAAGTTAGGTATAAGCATCTTGGTGGGAAGAGATGATACAGAAGATATATATTGTAGGGGATGTGTGTTAATAAATTTCAACTTGGGGAACACAGATTTATAGAAAACAGGAGTATTGATGGAAGCAAAAAAATTAATTTTAGATCTTTGGGGAAGCAGGGGCCTGGATTAGATCATTATAGGAGGAGTAGAGCAATATGATTGAAGGCCTGGGAATTTAGGGGTGCAGGGACACATCTCTTAAGATAAATTTTCTCTCATTTAGTTTTGCCCAAGACCAGAGGGAAAACCTAGATCTCTTGATTTCTGATGTGCCCACAATGAATGTGAGACACAGGGTACCTGGTATGTGGAGACGCTGATCCCAGTAGTACTTCATCCAACCTTAACTTTTGGGAGGAGGCGGTGCACCGTGGGAGACCCGGGTCAGCTTCCATGGCCCTCATGTGAAGCCCGGACTCCTTGGCGTCACTCTCAAGGCCCTCTGATCTGGCCAAGGCCCCTCCAGCCTCAGGTCTAACAGATTTCAGCTATTCACATCTACAGTAGCCCCTCCTCAGGTACAGTGTGTGAATAGCTGGCTTGTAAAAATGTGGTTTTAAATTAGTGTACCATAAATTCAAAGGCCACAGCCTCCCCCTCCCCTTTTTATTATGGAGCTTTTCAACCATGCACGAAGATCCAGAGAAGAATTTAATGCGTCTTTGTGGTGGTGTCCGTGTTGATGTCAGGTGTCCCATTTTTGGCCAGTGGGATGCCTTTCAAGTTAGTTTCTAATTCTTTTGATACGGGTTGGTCAGTTTTAAATGGACTACATCATCACTGTCTTGATACTTTTCCATGTCTCTGAAAAATCAGAGGCTTGGAGAACAGAAGGCCTGCGGCGTGTTGGTCCTTCCCAGGAACAGGAACGTGCTGCGTTCACTCACTTCAGTGACATTCTTGCCATAATGTATTTGAGAGATTAATTTTGTAGGGAGCTTCCTGTGATTAAAAGATATGAGAAAAGCGTGAGGTCAAAAAACAGAGTTTCAGCAGAATAAGACATTTATTAAGCACCTATTGTGTGAAAGATGCTGGCTCCGCCCTGGGGAGGATGCCATGATGACCTAAGGGAGTCATGGTTGAGTAATTTGGTCAGAGGCCAAGAGATAGCTCCGAAGTGCTACTAAGAATAACAGACTCTTCAGACTGGGAGAAGCAAAGAATAGAAGAGTGATTGCCAGGGACTGGGCAGGGGAAATGGGGAGATGTTGGACTTGGACAAAGGGTACAAAGTTGCTGTTATGTAGGATGAATAAGTTTAGAGATCTGATACATGGGCATGATGACTGTAGTTAATAATACTGTAGTGAATATTGGATACGTGCTAAGAGAGTAGATTTCAAGTGCTCTCACCACACGCAAAAGGTAACTATGTGAGGAAATATGCTAATTAGCCCGAACATAGTAATCATTTTACTGTGTGTATATATATCAAAATAAATTTATGTGTATGTTAAACAGATAATTTTTATTAAAACATGAAAAGGTATGTAGACTGTAATAATAATGGAGAAAATGTCACTTTGACTTCTAAAAATAATAATATGTGAACAAAGACTTTAAAGGAATATACATAATAAAAATGGCTATTATTTGCTATATTAAGGGAAAAAAAGAATACCAGACTGTTAGGACAGTTCAAGTTCTTGACTTCTGAAGTTGCCATCTTTGTGATGTTGGGCAGTCTGTTTCACTTTACTGGCCCTTAGTTCCCTCGATTGAAAAGGGGATAAAGAAAATCTGATTTATATACGACATGTATAATACGTATCACATAGATACACAATATATTCACAATATATGTGAGAGATATGTGTGTGTGTGTGTGTGTGTGTGTGTATATATATAAATATTATTCGGCCACACACACAAAAAGGAAATTCTGCCATTTGTGGCAACAAGGGTGGACCTTCAGGGTATTATGCTAAGTGAGGTAAGTCGAACAGAGAAAGGCAAACAGGCAAATACCATATGATTTCACTTATATGTGGAATCTTAAAAAAACAACAACACAAAAAACTCATAGATACAGAGAACAGATTGGTGGTTGCCAGAGGCAGGAGGTGGCAGGTGGGCAAAATGGGTGAAGTGGTCAAAGGTACAAACTTCCAGTTATAAAATAGGTGAGTCCTAGGCATGTGATGTACAGCATGGTGACTAGAGTCAGTAATACTATATTGTTTATTTGAAAGTTGCTAAGAGAGTAGATCTAAAAAGTTCTCATTACAAGAAAAAAACTGTTGCTATGTGGTTTGATGGATGTTAACTACACTTATTGTGGTGATTTCCCTGTATATATATCAAATCATTGTGTTGTACACCTGAAGCTAATAAATGTTTTATATCAATTATATCTTAATAAAAAATTCATTAATGGATAAACAGATAAACAGAGTGTGCTACATCCATAAAGTAGAATATCATTTGGCAATAAAAAGGAATGAGGTATTGATAGATGCTACAAGGTGCAGATAGACCTTGAATACATTATGCTAAGTCAGAGATTTTCAACCGGTGTGCTACAAGACTTTTTAAAACATGCAACACCTGACTATTTAGTCAGGGGCACTGACCTTTTCTTTCCCCTTAGATTGTCAAAAAAAATGACAACAGACAACACAAAAGTAGCTGTCCGGTGTAAATGAATCAAAATTATACCTATTTCTGTCAGATTGGTAAAAAAGATTTTTTTGGTGTGCCGCAGAATTTTAGTAATTAGTCTGTGTGTGCCTTGAGATGGAAATGACTGTGCTAGATGAAAGAGACCAGTCACAAAAGACCTCATATTGTATTATTCCATTTGTATGAAATGTCCATAAAAAAAAAGAAAGAAAAGAGGTGTTTAGCTCAATGTCTAAGTGCCCAGGCCCTTTCACTTCTGAAATTATATAAATTACTTACATAGGACTGTACACTTTTAAAAGTGGCTTTTAGACCTTAAGGATCACAGAGTCCAAGCCATTTTAAAGATGAAGAAACTGAGGTTCCTCTAGGAGCATGGACAGATCCAAGGTCACAGACCTAGTGATGGAAATGCCAGGTGTTTTGGATGATTTCTTGGTGATTCTGAAACCTTGATAGTGTTTACATTACCTGTTGTATTTAGTTACACAGTGGCTTCTCGGGCTTCAGCTGTGACAAAACTTTGAGAAAGCTGTTTAGTTGAAAAGCTGCCTAACATTCTGAATTTGGGGAATAACTAGTTTCCTAACTAAATAAATGAACAGATTAGAGTTCCACATTGAAATTCCACAAAAGATGTTCAACTTTTCTTTTTCTACTGATATTCTCAGAATGGCCACGACCTATAAGAAAGGACCTACTTGAGAAGTAAAACCCCACTGCTAGTAAACTTCCCAATGTTTTCCTGAGACTATCATATGTCAACATTAACAGAAAAGAAAGTGCTGCTGTGTTCCAGACAAGGGAATCAAGTCAGGGATTATCTCTAAGTGATTTGCTGACATTTTTATCCCTGGAGTTCATGATGACTGTTTCCGACTTCCTTTTGCAGGATAGCTAACGGCCAGGAGAAATAGAGTGGAAAATGCAAAACAACGAAATTATAAAACCTGCCAAATACTTCTCAGAGTTGGAAAAGAGCATCCTGCTTGCGTTAGTAGAGAAGTACAAGTATGTGCTGGAATGTAAGAAAAGCGATGCGCGAACTATTGCCCTCAAGCAGCGGACCTGGCAGGCGCTGGCCCACGAGTACAACTCTCAGCCGAGCGTGTCCCTGCGGGATTTCAAACAGCTGAAGAAGTGCTGGGAGAACATCAAGGCCCGGACCAAAAAAATCATGGCCCACGAAAGGAGAGAGAAGGTGAAGCGGAGTGTCAGCCCCCTCCTGAGCACCCACGTGCTGGGCAAGGAGAAGATCGCCAGCATGCTGCCCGAGCAGCTCTTCTTCCTGCAGGGCCCTCCCGAGGAGGAGCCCGGCTACCACCCCGACGCCACCGCCCCAGGTACCGCCGAGCCCGGCTTGCATGCTTTCACTGGGTGCCTGTCTGATGTTTGAATTTTAAAATCCCTAATTCTAAGGGACTTGATGGAAAAAAAAAAAAAGAAACGTGCATATCAAACTTGGGTTTTCCAATTCAGAAATCTCGGGTTTACATAGGCAATTCAAGTCACATAGTACATAAAATCAAAAGTACTTGTTTAAATCCTTGTGCCACCTCTCTTACCTCTGTTATTGAGAATCGGGAACACTAAGGGGCTACATGAATATAGCTGCCGTTAATGAAGTACCTTAGTCGCTTAGCTTAACACAGCTCAAATATACTGAAGTGGATTTGTTTGAAGATTTATTTTTCACGCATTTTTTTTCAAAAACGTGTTTTTTGAGGACCTATATTGTGCAAAGCGCTGCATTAAGTCATGCAAAAGGCCACATTAAAAAAGTGAGCTATTTCAGACTTAAGAAAAGTTATGAGACTAAGAGAGCGAACACCCATTTAGCATTCTCCCAGATTAAAAACCAGCGTTTCCACCCATTATTATATTGTGATCTGCAGTTTTGGTTTGTGGCACTCTGGGGAACTTGAAAAATTCCGGGGGAAAAATTATTTTAGTTTTAATATACTTTCATTGAAACGAGAAAAATGTGTTATATAGAATTCTTAGGGAAGGAAAAGATTGTCATATAATCAAGGAAGTAATGATAGTATGTCATAGCTTTAAAAGGCTGGACTTAAGGGGCTATTGAAATGTCTCGAGGCAAGAAGAGGGGGAGAGAATGCATATAGATAAACCCCCAATAATTCCTGCCTCTTTTAAGATAAGAATGGTCAGTTTATATAAAGATTCATTGTAGTTTGCAGAAGACACACTTAGTAATTCCTGGGAAGGCCAGAAGGCTGCTCATAAGGTGCTCCAAGGACCCAGCAATAGGGAAACCTGATCTGTGGCTTGCAGGGTGAGAACTTCGCTTACTAGTGTCCCCAGAGTAGACTGAGCTCTGAGGGACTCGTTAATTAAAAGTCACAGAATGTTACCCATGTAGAGGAAAAAGATAACCAAGGGAACTGAATACACATTTTGATTAGCACTTTTTTTTTTTTTNGTAGAGGAAAAAGATAACCAAGGGAACTGAATACACATTTTGATTAGCACTTTTTTTTTCCCCTGTAGGCAGATTATCCTGGGAACCTAAGTTACAATAAAAAGTTTGCTTGCTAATCATTGGACCAAGGTTAAGCCCAAGGAGCCAGCTGGGCCACCGTAGTGGTTAATGTCATAAACACCATGCATCGTTTTCCAGTGTAGGAGCCCTCCCTGTGTCTGAATTTCGATTCTTGAGTCCCAGACCGCAGTACCTTCCAGCCAACAGTGTTTATGTGGACACTGTCCGCTCCCTGTCTTGCCCCCTCTCGTTGCTGCTTCTGCGGGAACGGGGCCCCTGCTAATAGACAGTTTGCTTGTTTGGGAGATGTTTGTCGCTTCAGCCAGCTACTCCCCATCTCGCTGGCTTGGAGCCGTTCAGGCCCTGGGACTGGTGAAGGGACTGGTGCTAGGGGAGGAGGGAGGTGAATCAGCAGGGCGGCTTTTCAGTTTGCTTATGGGAGATGTTGCCCCTGTTGGCCTGACTGCTGTTAGTTCATGTTGCAAATCTTTGATCTATATCATTGTGTATTGATTACATAGGGTTATTCTAAGAGGATAGTCTCATTTCCCCATTTTCAAATTCTAGGGTAGGATCTAGAAAGTGTTTTTCTTTCTTTTTAGATGAAATGATATAATTCTTATATTCATAAACACAATTTATAAATTTCCAGCAAGAAGGGAATAAATATGGATTCTCAGTGTCCTTCCTGTAGTGACCTTTGCTAGATGCTAACTTGTAAAAGAGACTGATAGTAAATTAGATTTTTGTACATATATGACACATGGAATTTCATTATTAGAGTATAGCCGAAAGCTGCCTGTTCCTGTCTCCAGGTCAGATCTGGAGGGCAGTGGAGAACCATGGTGCTTTGTTAGTTGGGGAGTGTCCAAAGAAATTGGTTAACCCAAGTAGATAAGGTACTGGCACTCTTTCTATGCATTAAAACAGCTTTGGGCTTACCCAGCTCACTTTGTATTTAATTTTCTTTTAGGAAGTAAAACGCAAGGTGGAATTATCAATCATTCTTTCTGGGTCCTGGTGCGGAAAAGGTTGAAAATATGCAGTAGGGTTATGGCTCTCATTACATCGTGTATTCTGACAATGGAGTCTGTGAGTGTGTGTGTGTTTTATTTTAGTTAGTATCTCTAATGCTGTACTGTCCAATACAGTAGGTACAAGCCACATCAGGCTCGTAAGCCCTTGAAATGGGGATAGATTGAATTGAGACATGCTATAAATATACACACTATATCTTGAAGACTTAGTACCAAAAAAGAATGTAAAATCCCTTACTAATAAGTTTTATATCAGTTACATGTTGAAGTGATAGTATTTTCAAAATATGAGATTTAAAAATATTATACTAGTTAGTTTCACCCCTTTTTACTTCTTTAATATGACATACGAAGTTTAAAATTACATTAGCTTGTGTTATATTTTAGAGGACAGCACTGTCCTCACTCCTTGCAGAGTACCTGTTGCAGAATTAGGCACGCAGAGAATTGTTAGCATTGTTAACCAGGATGGAGCCTTGCAATACTCCACTAGAGGCCTCCCTCCAACAGTTTTGTGTGTGTGAGATGATTTCACCTCTGTCATCCTGATCATTGTACCAGGATATTATTATCTCTGTCAACAACTTTCTTGAAATGTACATCTGTGTTTGGACACAGTAGGTTTAAAATGTAAGTTTAACACTTAGGAATGTATTTTCAAAAAATCCATATTCTCCCCTTAAATATATTAAAACACTTTACATTCTGCAGATTTATGATATGTGATCATTTCGCTTTGACACTTCTCTTCCATTTTGAGATAAGTGAGATTATCTTTGGGGAACACGTTTGCAGAACACTAAGGGAAACCATAAAATTTGCTGGAAGTGGTCAGGAGGGTAGGACGATGAATGTCAAATATATTTAAGCAAACTAAGATTTCAGGTAGTATTCAGATTTCTTGAGAACTTATATTTAATTTCAGGTGCTACTGTTTACTATAAAGCTATATTTGAATAATACAAACTTGGTACTCAAAGCTATAATTAAGTAGCACAAACATTCCTTAACAAATTCCACTGTTATCACTGTTTAATCCAATCCTGTCCTTTTGGGGTGGGAACTCAAGTTCAAGGGACTGGGTTATAGTGCTGGCCGTGGCACACTGGCATCGCTGGTCTGCGACAAGCCCCCTTTTTGTGCTACTTAGGTATTTGCTCTCTTTTTATCACCATTCAGCACGTTCATTCCCATCTCCTATCCCTTCATCATTCTAATACGGCTGTGTATTCCTTCACGTGTTCCTAAAGCACACACAGCTGTCCTTTGTGCATGTGTTTTTAATTTAAATAGATTAAAAATTGTGCTACAGGTAACGTTTTCTTGCCCTTTTGCACTTAGAATAATATTTTTAAGATCTGTTCCCATTGCAGCATGTCAGTCTAATTTGTTTCTCTTAGTTGATGCATAATATTGCACCTTGTGCATCTTAGGTCACCTCTTATTTATTCATTCCCCCAGTCAGTCCTGTTTCCCTTGTTCTGTTGAGAACAGCTGGGGTTTGGCCTGAGCCCAGATTCTTTCCCATTCTTTAACTGCCGTAGTAGGTTTTTCCTGCTGATATGAAATTTACTCGAATCGCCCAAATGAAAGAACAGTCCCTTGACTATGTTCTCCCGTCCCAGGAAAGCCCTTAGGCTTTCATATCCATTTTGCACAAGATTGAGTTGTTTTCTGCTTCGGGTGGCTTTGTTTTACCTGGGAGACAGATTACATGGTGTGTGTTTGCAGCAGGTTGCCATTCCCAGGGTAGTCTTTTTCTAATTAAGAGAAGATTCTCCCCATCTGAACACTAGCTTCCATCCATTGGAGCTAATATTTGTGTGAGAGTTAATTAACTACTCCATCGGGCTTCTCTAGTTTAAAGCCCCAGCTTCTGCTAGCGTCTTCTCAAGAGGCATGGCTTTTTTTTCCTTTAAAATACGTATGTTAGTACACATTTAAACTAAAAAAGAATTGTTTTAAAGTACAGTCATTTCTGCTCCTAGACATGACATACTGTCTTCATGTTCACAGCTCTAGAGAGAAATTTGGAGATAAAAATTTGGAATATACATTTGTATCCTTAATAATAGATGGTCTTGTAATGGATACAGCTTGGACACTGCATTTTAAGATACATAAGTGATCAGCTGAGCAAATGATGCAGTGAGAGGCTAGGTATGGTAGCAATTGAGCTTGGATTTTGGAATGATGAAGACCTGGATTGGAATCCTGGCTCTTTCAAGCAGCCAAATGACTTTGGATGTCGTGTTTGGTTTTCTGTACTAATACCTCCTTCAGAGGGTTGTGGCAGGGATTAAATGAGGTAATGCCTGTACAGCACTAGCCTAGAGCCTGGTTAGCTACCCAGAAAATAGTAGCTGCTGTCATCATCAGGATCATCATCATGATGATCATCAGGTCTNCACTAGCCTAGAGCCTGGTTAGCTACCCAGAAAATAGTAGCTGCTGTCATTATCAGGATCATCATCATGATGATCATCATCAGGTCCCTAAAGCAGAGCATTATTGAGATGAAAATGAGCATTTAGATACTGGGAGAGAGGAGCAACTGTGAGGGCATGAACTCAGGAGTATCCTCTGGAATGAAATCAAAGAGAAAAGAAGCTAAAGGTACCAAAAAATATCTGTGGCCAGTCTCAAAGAAGGCACTTTCAGATCTACGACTAGAAAGGAAACAGATGAGGTAATCCTCTTTATAATTGATATTCGTGTCTAAGGGCCCCTATTCTTAGTGCCAAGCGTTTCCCATCGCTTTGTCCTGAGCCTTGGCTCTCCACTCAGAACACTGCTCTTTCCACCCAGCTGTGCTGTGCTGGGAGGGATGTGACCCACTGCAGCCAGTTCACCCCCCACACATTTCTTACAGGCCCAGCAGTGCACCAGGCCCCATCCTGGCTTCTTTATGTGGATGAATAAAAGCTAGTCTCTGTCTTCAAAGTATTATAGTTAAACTGGCAGCTTTAACAAATGCTCCCCAGATGTGGGCTCGGGAGGCAGTGGCAGCAAGAGGGAAGGACATCTAGTGGAGGCCAGAGCCATTGGAGTCGGGAAGATTCCTAGGGAGACATTTCAGTATCTCTGGATGACACAGAAGTACTCTTTTGAAACTTCTCTTTCAAAAGTAAAATTTTTACCTTTTCTTTAACCTCAGTTAGGGACTAGTTATGCTTGTTACCTAACCCCTTGGAGTGAAATAATCTAAACTAGCTGTTTTCATTTTATTAACAGAGTATTATGAGTTGGGTTTCTCCCAGTAGCCGTTAACATGCCCAGCATCCCATCTCCTGCAATAATGGAGTGGACTTAATAATGTAATCAACTCCTGTGAATAAATTGATAGTATTTTCTCCAAGGAGACAATTCTCGTTATTGAAAGTGTAAAGTTTCCCAAGAAAGCCTTGGAATCACAGCTAGAAGCCTCGGTGGGTTAGTGGAGTTAGTGGTTTCCTTATTGAAACTCCCGAATTGCCCTATAAAAATAGCGGTGTAAACGTGGCACACCGAAAATGGCATCATTTTGTATCCATATGCTCTTTTCCCCTTTTGTTCAAGGCTTCAGACAGTAAATATTTACCAGGTATCCACTGTGTACCCGGCAAAGTCATTGGTCCCAAGGATACAATACACGAATAAGGCATGGTCCCAAAATAGTACTAGTCCAGGGTGGAACAAAAGTAGGTTTACAGCTCATACGGAAAATAATACAATAATTAATAAATAACAGTACAAGGATAAACTCTGTGTTTCATGTACTTATAACTGTAAACCAACTTTTGCCCCGCCCTGAATGTGTTAAGTGTTGTCACAGAATAAGTACAGAGAAAGGAGAGAGCGGAGGTTTCCCAGAGCAAGTGGCATTGATCCTGAATGAAGTAGGAGTAAGGGGGGAGGTTGAAAAGGGGAGACTGGAGCAAGGGTGTGTGTGTGAGTGAGTCGGTGGGGACCAGATAATAAGCCCAACGCCAGGCTGAAGGAACAGTGAGTCAGAATTATGAAAAAAAGCATGGCCTTTAAGAATGTGAGTGGTTTGTGGTGATTGAAAGGTGCACAGGGTATCCTGAAGAGTAAGGCAAGAATGATAAAGGAGGGTTAGAACCAGATTATGAGGGTTTCTTAGGGGAGATTGAAAACAGCCGAAGAGAAGAACCTCAGGGGAGTATTAAAAGGTTAGAGGTGGGTGGAGCAAGAGTCTGAGTCCCGAAAGGAGACGTGAGAAGAGGCAATCAAAGAGGAAGCTGTAGAAAATTTAGGAGAGGGCGATGGTTCAGAAACTAACGGGGAAATTTTTCAAAAAGTATTTTCAAGTGCTAGGGAGAGGTTACCTAAGAGGGACATTGAAAAGGGTCTTTGGGTCTGAATATTTACCCCCAGGGGGCAGTGTTCGAGGTAACTGCCAGATGTAGGAACCTGATGAGAAATGGCCTGCTGAGGAAGTTAAGCTAGGGCGTGTAGACTCATTTTTCAAGGAGGGACACTTTTGAGATAACAATCCAGGGGAAGAAGGGTGGTGACCAGGAAATAGCCATGGCACCCTTGTGAACGTGGAACATGTGTTCATGGCTGGGTGAGAAAGGGAGCAAGGGAGATGAGATTGAGGGCAAACTTAATCTGAAAACCCACTGTTGGCCTCGTACTGTGGTCTTCTGCTCTTCCGGAGCTGTGCACACTTCAGTTTAGAACTTACATCAACATAACGAGGTCATCGATTCTCGATAAGCGTAGTCTCTGACCACTGTTCCCGTAGTCCACAGCTCTAGAAATGACCTGATGAAATGCTTTATCATTGCTTCTTAAGGGAAAATTGCTTTGGATTTATGGGGTTTTAAAAAGTCAGGTGTGGCAAGGGTACCTGCAGACATGCAGGCCAGAGCGGATGCTGTTTCAGATGCATCCTGCAGTGGGGGCCCCTGTCGTTGCAATAGGATGATTTACTCTCTGCCTGTAAAATCTTTGAACGTGTGTTTTCTGCTACTGTTTTTCAGAATCATTTGCTGTTTCAAATAGAGAACTGTGCGATGATGAGAAAGAGTTCATACATTTTCCAGTATGTGAGGGGACCTCTCAACCTGAACCCTCGTGTTCAGCTGTCAGAATAACAGCCAATAAAAACTACAGGAGCAAAACCTCTCAGGAAGGTGCTTTAAAAAAGATGCATGAGGAAGAACACCATCAACAAATGTCCATCTTACAGCTGCAGCTGATACAAATGAATGAGGTGCATGTGGCCAAAATCCAGCAGATAGAGCGGGAGTGTGAGATGGCAGAGGAGGAGCACAGGATAAAAATGGAAGTTCTCAATAAAAAGAAGATGTATTGGGAAAGAAAACTACAAACTTTTACCAAGGAATGGCCTGTTTCCTCATTTAACCGGCCCTTTCCCAATTCGCCCTAAGACTGGGAGGGTGGCTCCCTTGTGGTTGGTCTGTGTTGGCAAAGCAAGTCTGGAACGTGAACTCGCGGTCAGTAACCTGTATCAGAGCTACAACTAGGAAACTTAGAGTGGTAGTTGTCACTTATTTACGAATACGTTCAGGTAAACAGCTGCACCCTCTGTACCCCTTACGTGGCAAAGAAGCTGTTACAGTCTTCTGAAAGTTATCACTATGAGTGCTATCATTCTGAATGTAATGTTTCCTAATTAGAATTCATACAAGAACCATGCGTGAGTGTTGTATTTTTTTTAATCCAATGCAAGTGTGATTGTAAAGGGGTGTGGCTGATTTTTTTTTTTTTAAATAGCAGAACTTTTCTATCCAAATGATGCCCTCCCATTGAATGTGGCCGTCCTGGTAGGCCCCGCGTCTCTCCAGCGGTGAAACTGTCGCTCAGCACTTGCCTAGAGGCCTTTGGGGAACCTCCATGAGAGCTGCAGCACCTCTTTCATTTTTTTCAGTGGTATTCTCTGAGTGTGGATTTTCTGATTTTAAACAGCCCAACATGCGGAAGAATATTTTCTGATGTGGCTTCTATACTGCCTTGTCCCCCCAAAATGACACCAACAAAGGGAGTACTGTTGGAACTAAGGATGTAGCTACTTTGAGGGATAAATGTTCATTTAGATTTCTACATTCTGTCATGTTTGTTTTATTAAAAGACTTGCAATTTTATAGTCACATTGTGTATGTTCTTTAAAGGTGCTGCCTCCCCCACTGTGCTCCAGTTTTGGCCTTCCCTCTGTAGTTTCCTTCCTACTTTGTACTACTGAGTTAATGGTTGCCCTTGGTTTTACTCTTTAGCCACCTAAGGATCCTCCCCTCACCATGCTCCTGGTGCTAGCTAATAGTAAGGCTATGTAGTTTATGTTGTGCGGTTAGCATTGGGCTTTTAAAGAATCCATTACCAACATATTTGGAAATATGGATTGATAAATGGATATTTTGGTAGGGCTATGATATGGCTTCTCCTGTAGCCTAGTGTTATAAACAGCCCTGGGAGTTGGGCACAGTAGTAGCTGGCATAAGTGAAGTGACAGTTAAGTGCCAAGGCCAGTCAGCAATTTCTGAGAATGAAATTTCAAGGCCATGTGGTGGGGAAGGAGGAATAGGTGTGGCAGAGGCTACATAGGGAGTGTAGGGCTAGGAGTCAGGGCCTGAATTCTGAACTTGGTTCTGCCTCAAGTGCTCTGGGACCTGGGGTAACTCCTTTTACTCCTTGGCTGTGGTCTTTCCATAAAGCAGGGGAGTTGGTCTAGATAATGTTCAGAATTTGCTACAACTCCTTGACTATAGTACGGTCTGCACAGTCTTGGATGGGTACTGCTAACATCATAATTGTCCAGGGGCGTGGGTCATTGGTTTACTGCATTGGCTAAGCTTCCCTGCTTCATAATTTTGGAAGTTGGGTCTTAGGGACTGTAAGTTCAATAAGGTTCACATATACTCATTATTTTTGCAGTGCATAAAACAAATAGGTATCAGTTTATTTTGTGCATTATCATTTTAAATCTCTCAGAGGAACTGGTTATTAAAGGACCCCTGTGAAGACTAGTCTCCTTCAAAAGTAAGGATCCTTTTGTAGGGATCTATGTTCTTAACTTAGTTTTTACCAAATGGACCTTTTAGTAAAGAAGCATCTGGATAAAGTCCCAAACCTCAATGGCTTATGGGAGACAGAACTTGACTTTCCATGCCCTCCCTTCCCTTTAGGAACACAGGTGTGGACTGAGAAAAATTTGCCTTTGCTTTACTTATTGATCACCTGGAAATCTAGTTAATACGCAGATTCTGGAGCCGGACGTGAGATTTTGCATTTCTTACAAGCTCCCAGGTTATGCCAGTTCTGCTTGTCTGGTCACCACACTTCTGGGTAGCAAGGTCTTAGAGAATCCTGAGGTGTTTTTACTTATTCTCAAAAAAAAAAAAAAAAAATTGGGTTAGGTACATTTTTGTGTGCAGCAGTGTGCTGGATATTATCCGCTCAGAATTGACCACTTAAGCACACAAACAGTGTAGAACACAAAAAAAGGCTCACATACATAATGGAACTATAAAAGCTTCAAACTAATTCCTAACTGAACAAATCAAGGATAATTAAGCCAGCAGCCTAAAGCGCCTTGTTCCACCATTAGTGGTATTTATGAGTTTCTAACAGGAGTTTCCAACCTTAGCTATGCATTAGAAACAGGGTTTTATAAATAATTAATCCCACTGTGTCCTGCAACCAGAGGACTCTGATTCAGTTGACCTGGGTTGGGGCCTAGTCCACTATAGTTATCGGCAGCCTTTTAGGGGATGATGATACGTAATTGGGACTGAGAACCACTGGACAAGAGCTCACAGATGTGTCCCATTTGACCCTCATCTTGTGGGGTCATGCAGAAGTGAGGAAAAATGTTCAGAGAAGAACCACCTGGCACCAGGCCCATAGCTACGCAATGGCAAAGCAGAACTTCAGTCCCAGGTCTCTTGACTTGAAAAAAATTAGTCCCATCTGCACGCCCTTGCCCCATCCCTCAAAGCTGTATAATGGATTTGTTATATCCTGAGAGCCAGGTCATGTTACAGGGTACTTGTAGTGTCTCCATTCAAGAACAGATCCATCCCAATTCATTTCCCTTTTAAGCAGTTCCTAACCTGAGATGGAAATGCAATAACTACTTCTTGGTAGGTGCTCTAGAGAATTGACAGATAAATACTGACACAGTTCACCATCCTCTGCCTGGCCAAGTCATGGACACAGCCCAGTAGGAGAGGGAAGGCTTGTACACAGCTGTCCTGGACTTGATCAGTGCATGTCTTCAAGTGCATTTGTAGCTCAGAGCAGAAAGCTAAGAAACTTGAAGGAAGGCCGCCTGGAGGAGGTAGCATTTGAATGAAGCCTTTAGAGTGGGCATTTGGGCAGGTGGAGATTGGAAAGGAGAGGAACTTCACTAGGTGCAAGGTCCCATTGAAGATTCAAGATGATGAGACACAACTGGGAGGCAGTGAGAACATGGGGAATTTCCCTATTGGGCAGTAATGTGATCAAAACTGTGCTCCCAGGAGGAAGATTAGAAGATGGAACTGAGTCTAGAGGAGACTGGGTCCCGGAGGTGAGCTAAGAGGGTTTGGCCCTGGTTAGGATGAGATGATAGGACACAGAGGAGGCTCTAGTGAAAATGAGGGAGGCCAATGGGAAGGGCATTACAGAAGCGGAACCAGTCAGGCTTGGCAGCTGATTGTTTTTGTTGGGGGGGCGGGTAAAGTTTAAAGCTCCATGCCTGAAGGGATGGTGCTGCCTCCTGAGATAAAGGAAGACAGGCTGAATTTCTGGCTCTGACCGTCAAAGGGAGACCCATACACGAACTAGTGCATGGCCTCCCACTCAGGCCCAAACACCCACACCTCCTCTCAGCTCGTTGGCTGTCACCTCTTTGCTCTGACTTCTGCCTCTCCATTTTTCATCTGACAGTTTAGCCCCTCCCTGGGTCCTTGTCACGCCATTCATTTGGTACTGCTCTGCCATTGTCACCTCCATCGCAGTGGGTGGTGTGTCAGTCACCATCTCCTATAATGACTTCGTACTAGAAAGATCAGAAAAGATGATTTCTTTACCTTGAGCTTCAGTTATTTTCTAGACAGCTGGCATCCACAAAGTCCTTTTTTTTAAAAAAAAAAAAAAAGTCCCTTGTATAAAGGAGCTCTGGCTGAGAGGGGCTAATTCCATGTATGGCTCTTGCAGCCCCTTTACAAAAATCAAACATGGAATCCTACCCTATTATGCATCAACAATTTAGGAAATATTTTAGGAATTTTTCAGGCAGGCAGAATCTTAAAATGCATTGGCTTTTTTTTTTTTTTTTTTTTAAGAAGAGAACAGAAGAAGAGGGGTGGCATGGTGGCATGGTGAGAGAGTGCATTTGAGTTGTCAGCAGCCTCCGTGGTGTCAGATCAATCACATCAGCACTTGGTCTGGACCATGGGAGAGGAGTGGTTGTGCCTCCTGGGAATGTCAGAAGGACCTGATAATTATATTTGGTAAAGCCATAAAGAGTGGCTCTGTAATGTCATTGCTAAGAATTACCCTTTCAATAGCATTTCTGGATGTTTGAGCCTTTCAAATGGAGTGGCACTCCTTTCTGCTGTGGCTTTCCTTCTTGTCGCGTGGCTTCCCAGCTGGTACCCTGGTTCTTTCTCCTCCTGCTTTGAGATCAGTTTGTTTTCTCTTCTGTCTTTCTCCTTCTGGGCCCTGTTTCTCCAACCCCTCCGTCTGTACGTACAACGATCCCACACTTCCCTGTTTTAGAGATGTAGTCCTGTGAGAATGTGTGTGAGGGAAATACTTGCCAAAGGACAGCAGATTCAACACCTGGTGTCAGTGAGGTGAAGTGTAGCCTTAGACGGGCCCAGCTACGAGGACTTGCCTCCAGGCTGCGTCCACTGCTTCTGTGTTGGTGGGATTCAGAAGTCGTGGGAGAGGTCACCAGTGATCCGTGACTACAATATATTCTTTTCCTAATTGTGCCACATATATTATGCCCTTCAACACAATTTACTAATCTCTGCCTCAGTTTCTCCATCTGTGAAAGTGGTGTAATACTTATCTACCTCCCTTGAATATTGTGAAGATTAGTCTGTTAGCAAAGCATTTTTGAAATAAAGAGTGATGTAAAGCATTTTAACACTAGTGTTGTCATTGTGATGTGGATAACCTCCTGCAGAGGTACTGCCCTGTGGGGGACGTACCCAGGTGGACCATGGTTTAGGGAGCCCCCGTATGGAAAAATTCCATAACAGATACAAGAGCGTGATTATTTGTGAAAAATTTCAACATGGCATTTCCTTAAATAGCCTTTTGGTGCATTTACATGAGATTCAATTTATAGAATGGTGACTTACATAAGATTTTAAAAGAATACATCTATTGAACTTGTATTATCCAATATAATTGTTGGGTTTGCAAGCTGAGTATTAACCTAACAGTGCAGTTTATTATTAGATGGGATACTTCTGTTTCTACATTATCCAGATCCCCAGATTGTGTGTGAAGTTTCTCTCACTGTTACCACCGATTGGAATGGGTTTGTTGGGGGGAAAATTCCAAATTCTGTTATTTAAAAAATTGGTTAGTTTTAATCAAAAGGATACTTATTATAGTGGAAATACTATAAGTAGCAGTAGAAGGTAAGATTCTAGTTCCTTTTCTGTCCCATCACCTGGTTCAGCTTCCAGAGTAACCAAGGACACTCAGAGGCCGGTGCTGTGCTAGTGAGGTACATATGCATCTAGATTCTTATCCTTGAGTCTCAGGGAGTGGCTTTAGATGGGCTGGTATTATATTTTCTACAGGACTGGAGGGTGGTCACTCTAGTCACTCAGCCATTGGGAAATCTGGTGGGTAGCTAGGGCAGATCTACTTTCATGTGATCACTCTGTGCCCTGTGCTAAAAGGGTAGAAGCCATCCACGGGAAGCTCTTCTCTCTTCTCATTGTGACAGCAGAAGTACAGAGGTGCAGGTCAACTGTGGAAGCCTTTTTCAAGTTTCAGTGTTTTATCTTCTAATATCTCCTTGGCCAAGGCAAGTCTCCTGGCTGAGCCCAAAGTCAAGAGGAGAGAAGTAGACTCCTCCTAAGATGGTGAGATGAGGAGATAAATATTTTTGCACATAATCAAATCTACCACAGTATCACAAGTGGG